TCGCCGTTGTTCTCTGAATCGCCTGAAGATTATGTCTTAATGGAAGTCGCCAATATTCTGGAATTGTGAATTGTCTTTGGGTGTGCAATTTGTGCATAAATCGACAAGTTTGTTCGATAAATCCAAAAGGATCTGGGAATAAATTCACAACAATTTACTTTATTTATTTTTTATTTTCTTTTTGAATAATCTTAAAAAATCATTGTAATCACAAAGGCTTGGATGTAAAATTGGATTGTTGTCAATTGAAGGATGCATGTCTATACATGTATGACAACAATTTAAAGGGTAAGATATCAATGATAGTTTTCACTAACCAACAAAATGCACAAAACTCCCTGTTATAATATATATTATAACATTTATAAACTCCCTGTTATAATATATATTATAACATATAAATGGAAGTTTTGACCTTTGCCACTTGAATTGACAATGTTACCCTTCAACCTATAAAAAAATAACATATAAATAGAAGTTTTGCCGTGATCGCCCCGTCGCCGTTCATCCATCCTTTAACTTTTCACCTTATATAAAAAATTTTATTTTATAATTTAATTACGTTATAAAATTTAAAAATATTATAACTAATTATTAATTATAAAATACGTCCCACCATAATTGACACTATTTTCATTTTTGTCTGTCCGTAATAACTGATACATTTCTATTTTTGGTAAAAATTATTAAATAAAAAACATATTTAACAAATATAAATCAACTTAATTAACTACATAACATATAACATCATAAATGAAGTATGACCCACTCAAAACCCCTTTATTTCTATCTTTCTTTAAAAAAATAAATATTTTTATATATATTTAAAACTACACATCTTTTATAAAATTGATTTATGTTAATTATAAATAAAAAAATATTTTTGTATTTACTTATATTATAGAAAATTTTATTCTCTACAAAATGATATTTATATTACATATATTTTTTAATTGCTATATAATTTTTAAATATTTAAACATATATTTTGATTTTTTTAATCATATATATTAAATTTACTTTAAAACTATAAATATTATTAATTATATAAAAAATAATATCATAACTAATTATTATTAACTAATTAAACATCCTTATCTTAAATAACGTGTCCATAATCAGATGATTCAATTTCGGTGGGACGGAGGGAGTATAATTTTTGTATAATTAAATATAGATAAATTAATACTCCCGCCGTCCAACTAGAAAATATACATATTTATATTTTTGGACGTCCAATTACAAAATAAATATTTTATTAAATACTTCACTTTTTTCCACAAATATCCTTACTTTACATCACATCATTACTTTTACACCAAAAAATAAGGGCAAAAATGTTATTTTACTACTTTTAACTACCCACTATAATTAAAATACTACTATTATTTCTTAAACATAGCGCCAAAAGTAAATGTTTACTTTGCGTGTGGACGGAGGAAGTATATAATATTAGAAATATAATAGTAATTTTATAAATTAAAAACATAAACATATTTCCTTTCCTTCAAAATTCTCCCAATTTTGACAGAAACAAGATAAAGTTCATTTTAATGAGCTTTGGTTGCGGATATGGATTCGTCGGCATCCACTTTACTCGAACCTTTGTCGAACTTCTGGCTTCTGGTTCACACTCACAATCTGTTCGAAAAAATGACTCTTCATCTAAGTTTTTCCTTTCAACCCCATTTTTCACCCCACTGTCCACTTGTAACAGGTGAGATGGTTCCTCCTCGATCACCTTCCCGTCGGTCTAGCAATTCTTAGACTCCCTCGAGAACTCGCTAGTGCAGTCTCGTACACATCTCTAATGTACGCTAAAATAGGAACACTATAAATGCACCCGGCAAAGTAGAATGTTTTATTAACTCTCAAAACTGAAATGAAGTACTATTTCTTATTTATAGTATGGCGTAGCCTTCACAATATATAAAACAGTAGTCGCCAAGAATCAGTTATTGCTTTCAGATCATTGGCGAAATTTCTCACCTCCAAGATTGGCCCACTATCGCCTTCTCCCCAAAGGAAACTTCAAGCCTTTATGCAGATTTCCGTTTCAATATTTTTCGTAGAATTTACTCACGGTTATTGCTTTTGGGAATAAACGATCGATCAGGCAGATGTGAGGAATAAGATAATCTAGAAATACAACGGATTGGCGATAGCTCAAATTTGGAATAATGGTTTTACTTTATTCTCAAATTTGATTACGCTAGCACTGGAGTGTGCTGTTGCTATTTTATTTTCAAATTCGATTACGTTCAGGCTGGAATTCAGATGGTATGCTTGTGATTTTAAAACATTTTTCAGATTGTGAAGCATTTCGTTTTGCATTTTCATTGAACGTGTACTTTTGCACTTCATAACTTCACGAAGTACTCACATTAAGAGCACACCATGTAATACTTACAAAATATATATATATTTCTATGCAGATTTTCTTTAGAACTATGTTTACATGTTAATCAAAATTGATTTTTAAAGTATATTTTTATAAATAGTAATTTGCACTATGAAGGTGAACCATAGAAGGATGCGAGAAAATAAAGCGGGAGTATTTTCAGCAGCTTATTAATGCTGTTTCTATTGCCATAGCAGTCAACATAGGAGTCTTCTATAGATATATAAAGATAGTTCATGTGGCTGCTAACTTATTTCAGTAATACTTAAATTCATATGCTGAATCTTTCTAACGATTACCTTTGACGGTGCAACCAGAAAACTTTTATTTTGGATGCTGTTGGAAACTTCAAAGTTTCCGATTTCTGATTAAGCGCTTTGTCCAAAACAAGTCAGGTTATATATATATTTATATATCCAAATCTAAAAATTAGTTGAGTTTTGTTTCTCACATATATTATGTCCCAAAAAGTTTCTTGGGTTGAATTTTATATTTTTGCCTAATCAAACACATATATTTGTTATCGAACATTTACAATTTGTTTCATTTTTTCCTATGTATACACACATTTAGGGGAAATGACCTTTTTACCCTCAATACAATATCACACATCATAATGCAATAATATGCGAGTAATGGTGATTTTTCATCCATTGCATATATTGGTTATATTGCTTAATATTGAGAACAATACTAACTGCTAACATTGTTCTAAAGTTAAATTTTTCAATATTTGAAATCACTTCCTAATGTTTCTCATATTGGTTACACCTCTTAAAATCTCAAGTTAAGGTTCTAACTTTTCAAGTTCCAATCAAAGCATATAGATCCCTATAGGAACAAGGCTATCTACCGTTTTTAACCTCAAAAGGGACACTAATCATTTACGAGTGAGGATGACACCAACAGAAAAAGGCGATTCAAGAAAGAACTGATACCTTAACTTTATGAATAATACTTCTTTTAAGGTTGTATGTGTTTGTTAGTAATTTAGATTTACTATGGTATTTTAACTAAGAAATGGTTTAAGTGGTTAGGTGAAATTGGTCTTATGCATTTTTGCCTTTTTTTTACTTACATGGTCAGTAACTAATTAATTTAAACCATAATATTTTTTTATTACATGTAGTTGGTTTACATGGAATATATTATGACTTTACTGATGCTTGTAGATGTTTCATTACTTACATTTGTGTTTGTTTGGGATTTGAATTTCGAGTTGGAATTTGAATAGTAAAAATTTTGAATTTTAATAGTTGTATGACGTGATATAAATAGGAGTTGATTTGATGTTTTAAATGTAAAATTGATTTTTAGTATAATATAAAAAATAAAAAATAGGTGTTTAATTTGATATTTTTTTTCGGGAAATGGGATGAACAGTGGATTTAAAATCCAATCCCCCAAACAAATGCACCTTAAAGAAGATTGTTAATAATCATATAACATATCTTCTTTTTGTGGAATTTACTAAAAGATCATTTTGTTGTCATCTGCATGTTTTAAATTTTTTGGAATAAAAGATGTTTGTCTTCCTATTTTACTTAGGGTGCGTTTGGCAATTAGCAGATAGTTTTAGCTGCTTATTCAATTAGTTGTTAGATGTTAGTTGATTCAATTAGCTGGTTTGACTAGCTGATTCAATTAGCGGTTTGTATTAAAGTGTTATTTGACATTAGCTGTTTATATATAAAATGACTATTAAGGATATTGATATGTTATTTTTTAAAAATATTTAATTTTGTTCATTTTGGTTTGAAATTTATGAGAATTTTTGTTATTAATTTTTGAAAATTATAAAAATATTATAAAATATTTATTTTTACTTTTATTATTTAGATTTGAGAAAATTATTTTTACTAAAAAATATTAATTTTTTATTGAAATTATGTAAAATATAAAATAATAAATCTTTCGTATATATTTTTTTATTATGTTAAATTATTGTTTTAATATATATAAATAAATTAATAACCTTTATTTTTTTTATTTGATTTAGTTTTAAAAATTATTTTACAAATAAAATAATTTATGTGTAATAATTAATAATAGTAATTATTTTAAATTTAAAAAAATAAAAATATAATTTAATACTAAATATATTAAAAGTAATTAATAAATACAGCTATAAAAATATATTTATATGTATAAAAAAAATAATTAAGTTTTAAAGGTAAATAAGGAATAACCAAAATTAAAATGAAAAATTCTTTCAAAAAGCTAGGTGAATGAGCTTTTCAGAAATTAGCTTTTTAGATCCAAAGAGCTATTTCAAAAAGCTAATTTACCAAACACCTAAATTAGCTTTTTAACTAATCAATCAGCTAAAAGATGTTAATAAGCTAAAAACTACTAAAAAGCTAAAAGCTCTATTTCTCATACACCCTCTTAAGCTGAAATCATTTTATGGAAATAGACGTCTATGGTTTAGGCTTAGCTTTCTTTTACTTTCAATCTCACTTCCAGCCACTATCATTCCTGATCTCTCCAAGTACAGTAAATGACCTAAAATTTGCATCACATTTTAAGTTAATTGTTGAGGTTGTTTTACTTTGATTTTGTTGCAATCATATCGAACTTGTTTACTTGTTTTACATGTGTATGTATATGTTTTATACGAAATTATTTTTATTGTACACACCGGCGCGGCATCCGCGCGCCGGGTTCTAGCATATATATATATATATATATATCAATTCTTGTACTTGTACCAGGTAGCCCAATACAAATAATTCAAAAAATTAACTGCACTCAAGATTGCCAAGAACCAGTAAAACAAATCGAGCTTATCCTTGTCAAGATCCTTCCCATGCAGCCACCCACCATGCCCACCCTCCACCCTCTTTGTCACAACATTAATCACCTCCACGAAAACACTGCTCAGAAAGTACCCCAATGACAGCGACATCCATGCGAACGACGTTGCCAGCGACTCCATCCCCGCCGGCGCCTCCCTATAGAAAAACTCCAGCAATCCCACCAGCGAAAACATGTCTGCCGTCCCGAACACGCCATACTGCAAACCCAACCACAACACGCTAATAGGCTTCGACGGATCCCTTAACGACTGTCGCCTCCTCCTCACCTCCACCATGGCTGCGATGCACATGGACACCGACGCCAGGGCGAGCCCCACCCCGATGCGCTGCAGCTGCGTTATCCCCGACGGGTGGCCGGTGAAGAAGTGGCGGACGAAAGGGACGAAGAGGCGGTCATAGACGATGAGGAGGAGGAGCATGGAGATCATAGGGATGAGGGGCATCGAAGCGGCGGGGACGCGGAATCCGGGTGCTATTTGGAGGTCCATACGGTAGCCCTGTTGAACGGAGAATGTTTGGAGTTGCGCCAAGCATGTGTTGAGGATGATGGTGCACCCAACTATGGGCATCATTCTTATCAGGATTTTCACTTCCTCCACTTGTGTCACTGTGCACACTTTCCATGGCCCCTTGTTAATTGTGTGTTTGATTTCGGGGAGCACAATTGCTGCTCTGTCTAGCCATCTGAGATATATATCAATCGATCATATATATATATATATATATATATAGTGATATCACAATCGAGCTAGAATAAAATGTACATAATTATAAAGGAAATTAATCGCATATATATATAAATTAAATAGAGTGATAGATTTTAACTATTTATTTTGTACCAAATGTTGCTACAATGATTTTGTAATATGATAAATATTAGTGATTAGGCGGAAGCTATAGTGGTGAATTATTTTTATTTAATACAGTGCAGACAATATAATATATAACAAAAAGTAAGGCATAGTAGTCCCGTAAAGGATGGTCTAGTGGTGTGGTCAAGTCACCTGCCACACATAGTTCCGCTTAGTATGACTTGTTTGTCGGACCTAGTGTAACACAATCATTCATACTACAAATATTACAATTGATTTTAACACATAAAATGTATATATACAGTACATCTAATAAATAGAATTGTTAGCATATGATTTCAATTAATATAACATATATTGTATTAATTGAAACTATATGTTTATTGCCTATTTATAATATGGTGATTAGAAAAACCAGCACAATGTAATGTGTTTTGATGCCCTAAAATTAATATGTGACCTAATTTGAACTTAAATTAAGAAGAAGACTTACCTAAATTGTTGGGTATGTGCAATTTTTGTAGACGTGGAATTACTATCCTCATTATTGATTTCATACAATTCATTAGGGCTCTCCGGATAGTGCAAGCCATGATTCTTTATCGCCACAACAATAACCTGATCACACCAACTCACAAGATTTAATAGCAATACAAAAATGAAGATATATTACTTTAGCTTAATAATTAATTAACTACCAGCAGAGATCGAGCATGTTTATTTTAAATATAATTTTAAAAAATAAATGTTTATTTTAATATTTTTCGTATAAAAAATCCATAAATTTCGAAAATTCTATCTGTTCTCTGATCCAAGCAAACCCTCAACACAAGTAACGCATGCATTACGGAAAAATTGTAAAAAATATCGCATACGTATACCCCATTATCACTTTTGTCTTGTATTTATCTCGCTGGCAAAATATATCTTACATGTTTGCAACCAAAAGATAGAAATAACGACTTTTGCAAATATGTAGGATATATTTTGCCAGCGAAATAAATACAAGACAAAAATGATAATGGGATATACGTGTGAAATTTTTTTTGTAATTTTCTCCGTGCATTACTACTTACCTTAACAATGCGGAAAATGGGGTTAGTATTTGGTGCGGGGACATGGAGAGAATAAAAAGGCTTCCCGATGGCGAGAATGGCAAAGCCAATGAAGGCGGCGACGGTGATGATGAGAAAGCCCTTCCACCAGGTGTTGTCTGTGGTGGAAATCCATACGATGAATGTGACGCCAACAGCTCCACCAGACATTATGCTGAACATGAACCAGTTGAAGAATGTGGCAAGCCTTCTGGCCTCCTTGGGGTCAAACTGGTCGGCACCCATAGGGAGTAGAGACCCCCGCACCCCACCCGCCCCTAGTGCCAGCAAGGACAAGCTTGCGTAGAAATATACAGCAACTCCACCTTCTATACATGTCGCCTTCCCACAAGGTTTTGGTAACAAATTTTTACTGTGAGCTTGTATTGTCATCATCAGTAGACCCTGCTCGAACAACACATTATTTTGTTTCCTTTAAATGTCAAATTGTAAAATATTGTAAAGAGTTTTCAATTCATCAATAAAATTACTAAGAATTTAATCTATCTTTGTCTTACTTTTTTCTTTTATATTTTGCAATAGAAGAAACTATTCATGTGCTTTTAATAATAAAATAATAATAATATTGAATTATAAACACTTTATTTGAATTTGACTGTTGGTTCCAATTATTTCAATGTAACAAACTGAGAATTACAGTGGGGGATGACAACACATGCAAGCTATCAACCTCTTTGGAAAATCAAACTACAAGAATCCTACATGATAATCAATATAAGCACAAGGATAATTTATTTATTTATTTTTTTAAAAAAAGGTTATTATCAAATTCAGTGCCTCCATCACTTTGAAACACTTCAGTGGTACAAGAAAAAGTTAATTGAAGATAAGTTTTTGGAAATGTGCCAAAGTGTGAAAAATAAATTCTATTTAGTTTGTAACATATAAATCCAAGAAAACTATGAGAAATCATCAACAAAAGCCACTTAGTATTTATAGCAATCAGAAGTAGAAAAGGGGTGTACAATAAATTAAGGCAAGTACAATTGTAGTACATTTTTCATTGAAATCTAAGGTAATCATTTTATGAAGAAATAGTATAATTAAGTTATAATTACAAAACATAAAACATATATTGTATTAATATATATTTTCTCCGTCCCATTTAATTTTTTCTATTTTTTTATTTTCGTTTGTCTCATATAATTTGTTTTATATATATATAATATTTACTTTAATCACATTTTAAAATTCATAATTTATAATTTTTTTATTTCAATTAAACTATTTAGTCATTTTAAACTTAATTTATAATTATCTTTATTAAATCGTAATTATTTTTACTAATAATTACTTACTAATTACACAATACCTAAAACTCTGTGTCTAAACTAAATGAGACAATTTTAGCGAGGACGGGAGAATATATTGTAACATGAACCTAAAAATGTTATTTTATATTAAATTTTTTGACTTTTTTTGGATGAATATAATATATGTTATAGTATATTATATTAATATATATTATACTATTTTTTATAATATTTATATAAAATCGTATTCTATGTTGGATGAACAAATTCTAAGATTCTCAATGGTTTGTGTTAATTATTTTAGAAGAAATAGGATTATCATATTCACCTTTTTGTGATTGATTCTCCAACTTAATCAACTCTCCAATAGAAAGATATATATATATATACATATATATATAACCGTGAAAAATAACATTTTTCTTCTTAAAAAAAAAAGTTGTGTTTTGTACATATAAATGAGACCAGAGAAATGGAAATGGTATCATTTCTCTTGTTTGTTTGAATCAGAGAAATGAAACTTGAGAAATAAATCATTTTCATTTCTCTCTCATGTTTTTTTTTAACTTTTAATTTTTTTTTACTATTTAATTTTTATAATTTTTTTAAAATTATATTATTTTAATTTTACAAGAAACAAACTTAATTTATTTTTAAAGTATTCAATTTTTACGATATTTTAAGAAATTGTACTAAAATATAATCTTAAAAAACATCGTATATAATTTATAATTTTTTAAAAAAAAATTTACCAAAAACATTTTTCATGAATTCTCATTAGTTAAAACTCTCTTTTTATCCGGTTAATCATTTATTCTTGTTTGATCATTCATGTATCTGCATTTTTTTTTTTATATTTCTCAACTGAATTCTCTGTTTTATCAAACAATGGAATGAATTCTCATTCTCTACTCAATTCTATTTCTCTCCAATTTCATTCTCTACTCCCATTTCTCTGCAATTCTATTCTCTCTACCTTCAATTATATATATATATAGTATCTTAATTTACGCTATATAATTAAATTTAAATAGTGTCTTTGCTCAAGGGTTTTGGATTTTATGGAAAAAATAACAATAAAAATTGTATGTGTATAGTATTAATTATTTTAATATCCACATGACATGCTAGATATCTTATCTTCGATAAATAGATAGATAGATAGATAGATAATTAAGTGTAACTAATTTAATTAGCAAAACATGCAACATAAATAACAGCAGAAAATTAGATATATACAGATGCATGACATCTCTATATATAGTTTAGTTAGTTGCAAAATTGAATTGAATGATTACCAGGAGTTCGAGAGAGCCGAAAATGAGAGCAGTGTGGAAGTAAGTAGCGCGGGAAAGGAGCGCAGGAAGAATGGAGAGCAAGAAAGTGGAGCCCATGAGGTTGGTCAGAGTGTTGGCTGCAGTTGCCAGATCAAAGTACATCTTGTTCGAGAAGTAGAGCACCAGGCTCACCATGTTTGCTATGAACCCCATCTGCTCCAACCCCGCCAATGCTGCATGCAAATTACTATTCATTATATATTTTTATATTTATTAATTAATTGTTAATTAATTTACCGTATATGAAGAGCGCGGCTCTAAACCCTCCTTTCCCTGCTTCCACTGATCTCATTAACGCCTCCTTTTTCTGCTCCTAATTAATTAATAACATATATATATATATATATCAAAGATCATCATCATCATCAGCAGCACCAATAGACAAATTCAAGAAATTAACTGTTGTGGATAGGAAGCTAATTAAGCTAAGCTAATTGAGCTCACCATGGATGGGAACTGGGAAGGGAAGCTCTCTCCAATAATATTACTATTATTGATGAAGGATGAGTTAGTTGTGTGTAGCGAACAAGTCTATGGAAGTTATGAAAACAAAGCCCACTTCTCTTTCTTTTATATATATATATATATATATATAATATATATCCTATCATTTTATCGTCGTAATCCAAGTATATATGTTTAGTTTCTCAACTACAAAAAATTAGAAATAATATTTCATCGTAATCACTATGTTGTCGCTGAATAGATTCGTTAGTGCTGATTTGACGCTAGTGTGGTTGATTGTCAATGCCACATGGACAACAAGTTAATTTTTTTTAAATTTCTTTCATAGAAATTTTTTTTAAAAAAAAAATCCACTTGTCGCCAATGTGGCACTGATCACGTCAGCACCAACAAACTTACTTACATATTTAGCGACAACATGACAATTCCGATGATCGAGAATTATTTATTTCAAATCTTTTTAGTTGGAGAACCAAATGTATTCAGGTTCCAATTCATGTATTTAAACAACATACAATTTACTTTTCAATTTGTGAAAATATTTTATGAAAATTAAAAAAATGTATTATTTGATTATAAAAATAAGGGGACTATATATGGCTATGGAGCAGGTGAACACTTAGTAAGTAAATTATTTTAATTTGTATAATTAAATTATATTCTTAATATAATTGGAATGCTTTTATTTTAATGATTGGCAGCACCTATCAGCACATCATTATTCAACATCTGATATGTACCGTGTCCATATATAGGCAATATAAAATACACTCGATATACTCGGATCTAAATAATCTTATATGTGGATAAAACTAAATCTACTAAATCTGAATATTTAAAATATCTCAATATTCCCTCAAACTCAAGTGGTGTAACATAAACCAATTTGAATTTGCAAAGAGAGATCGAAGATAAAACAGTCATAATCATCCATCATGCCAGAATCAGAAGCAGTACTTTCAACTGAATCAGATTCAGAAAAACTCTCACCAGAGTCGGGAAAACGCGTAATTGGAAAACAAAGCCGGAAAACACAGATCTAAAAAACACGAAACTCTATCCGGAGCTTGGAAAACACAAAACTCTCAACGGAGCTGGAAAAATGATAGGACTCTCAATGCAATCAAAAGTAGCGCTTTGTACTGAACCATGATAAACGATCAACGGCCAAACTCGGAAGCAAAATTAAAAAAGAAACTTGACGGACGATTAATTGCAGACGAATCTCAAAATTGGAAGACCTACGTTGACGCCCCATAGAATCATAAATAAAAATTTTAAAATTGGAGACCTCCAAGTACATTCAAGGAAAAATACAAGTTGGTATATTATATCAAATCGAGGAGAAAATACACTATGATATTATATGAAAATATTTTATGAAAAACTTGAAAAATTGTATTATTTGATCATCAAAATACGGGGAATATATATATATACAATATAGAATCGACTAGATTGACTCAATCTAAATAATCATATATGGATTAAAACAAATATAAATCTACAAAATTTAAATCTAAATTTAAATATAAAACATATCTCAACACAATTATTTATTTATTTAATGGGATGGGATGGATTCCTTTTCTTTGTTTAATATTAGATTCTTAGGATACAATCGGGTGGCAGCTATGAAGTTTTTCCTCTTCAAGGAATAAGCATCTGGCTGCTGCTGCTATGGGTCATGATCAATATAATTGACCCTCTTGTATTGTACCCACTACTATATATAATGGGATTTCCACTACTTTATATATATATATATATCTTTTGTAACCCTCTTGTAGGAATCCAATTCCAAGAAAAACAATTTTTTTAAAAAAAAAATAACAGTAAAAAAAACATAAATTTTGATCTGCATTCAATAATAGTAATAAAATATCTAAGGTGATAAATTACTTGAAGATAACTAAAGCAACCAGTCGACATCTTCATTTAATTTAGATAATCAATTATTCTTAAGGCACTAACAATGGTCACTCACAGTGCTGTTAGCATATTTTCCATATGATTTGAAGATCGAATCGGGCCAGATCAAATCATATACTCTTTATATTTAAATATTTATATTTTTTCGAAACTATATTTAGGGATTGGTTAGACTATTAAGTAGGGTTAATTATTACTAGCTAATTAATATTAAAATTATGAGATTAGACTTTAATCTAAAAGTTAATACTTAATACAATGTAAAAATATAATTTTACTATAAACTTAAAACTTTATAATGATATATATAACACATTATTAATATTTAATTTCAGTAATAAATAAATTGACAACATAGTTAATATTTGATAACTCGAAATCGCATGCTTTTTATTTTTATATCATATGCGATATTTGATTGATTTTTATTGTTCTACCTAATTTCTATGTGTATTGTTTATTTACGACACGCGGGAGAGAAAAAACAAATTTTGGGGAAAAAAAAAATCAAACAATCAAATTAGTCATGACCATGTCTAACCGCACCTCCTGACATACATGAGAATTTAATTGAAAACTCAAAAGCCCAACTGCTACAAAAATAAGGCAAAATAAAAAGAGAAACCAAGGGAGTTACAAAAGAGAAAGAGAAAATGGTCAAAAGCAGCCCAAGAGGAGGAGCCTGACGTATTCATAGATCGCACATGAGCAAATTGATAGAGAAGATTTCCGTTTAGACTATGATTTTATCTTTCTTTAATATTCTTTGTTATTTGATTATGGAGTAAATACTTTTCTGGTTTGAGTGATGATAATGTTTTGGTTCTTGTGTTTTGGAGATTCTTTGACTTTCTTTATAGAAGTTCTTTTTGATATATTTGTCTAATTCTGAAAATAATATTTGTTATTGTTATATTGATTGGATATTTCGATACCGATATTCAAATTGGTTTGATAATCTAAAGTCAATTCAGGTTGAATATCCATAATTGTATTCACACTTGAATATGTGACAATCGGGTTAAATAGTTCCTTTCCGGGGGTTAGACAATCAAATCTAATTGCTAGTAGTAATTGTTTTGAATTGAATTTTTCTAGATTATAATGAGATTAGACAATTTTTCCTATGGGCGTGCCTAGGTTTATTAGCTTAATTAGAATAGTTAACGGTCGTATCTTAATTACCTACACAGTGAGAAAAAAGTGATTGTCAGAGCTTATTGATAAATATAATTAATTTATTGATAATTTAATAAAAATTAATTTTATTGAATTGATGATAAAACAAAAGTGTCATAACTGCATCATCCTTTGAGTCAGACATCTCTTGATAGCTAGTTCCCCATTAATTTAATTGCTTTGTCATTTTATCTTCATTAGATAATAAAACAAAATTCCCTCATTTATTTACTGCATTAGAACACGAAAGAGTGAATCACACAATCCCTGTGGAGACAATCTCTTTCCCTGTATTACATTAAATTGTGATCTCGGAGTAGGTAAAATATTTGATTGACCGTGCGACCGGTCAATTTTTGGCGCTGTTGTCAGGGATTGGCGCTTTATTGTACTCTTTTGTGTTATTTATTTGTTTTATTTTCATATATCATCTTGTTTATGTATGTTCTTCTTGTTCAGGTAAATTGATATTTAATCTTGAGATCAAGAAGGTTGAGCGAAAGCTGCGAAAGGAAGTCAGACAACGAAAAGCTGCGAAAGTTGCAAAGCTGACGGACTCTTTAAACCACCTTATAATCTCTAGCTCTAGCGATAAAATCGGTCTCAATAGCTTGCCCAACACACAACCATAATGAAGAAGAAGCAATCGTACCTTACCCGAAGCTACTCCCCAGAGCAGATGCTCCATACCAACCTGAGGAAGAAGTTGAATATTAATATTGTCCACCAGTTTAGATGAAGAGACGAAGACCCGTAGATTGACACTAAATCTTGCTGGGAAAACCTTACTTGGGCGCTCGTAGCGCAGTAGCTGCTCTATCCTACCAGTTTCACGGTGGTGGTCTCGCCGGTGCAAGGAGGAAGAGAACACGGTTGATTGAAGGAGGGAATGTTGTGTCCTAATTCTCTAAGTATTGGAGCTTATACAAACGTGTTCAATTTGTTTTTGGTGAAAGCGTGAGTGCGCTTTTACCATTTTTTATTTTTTATTTTTAAATATTCAATTTAAATTTAAAAAAAAATAAATATCAATAGTTACGAAAAATTATCATAACTAATGTTATTTTGATCAAAATTTACAATAGTTATAATTGTTCCGGACAATTTTGTGCAACTAGTGAACTAACGTTGGCTAGCGGTAAAATTTTTTGTCAGGAATTTTATTGTAACTAAAACAATCATTTAGAACAACGCTATTGTTACGAACCTTGAACCTATGGTGAATGACTATTTTTTTCGTAGGTAAGGTGCATTCTAGATATAAAATTTATTTGAGATATATACTTTTTCATATTTAATAATAACATAATATAATAATTTGTAATTTTAATTATAAAAATAATACGTATTTGTTTTTTATTGATAAAATATCATTCAATTATTCTATTGTATGGTAATATTCTTCCACAACAATTACTAATTTATATTTTTTCAATAAAAATTACTAATTAATACTTGATCAACAGCAGTGTTGTGAAACACCACAACAAATTGTCGTGGTCTTCTATTACAATAAAATATATTGTTCCACTACAATGAAATATATATATATATATATAGATATTTCTTTTCAATTAAATTAGCAACAATACTATATATTTTTAGTTGTCTATCCACTGGTGTGTTTGTTTGGGGGTTTGGATTTTAAGTTGGGATTTGAATAGTAAAAATTTTGAATTTGAATAGTTGTATAATGTGATATAAATAGGTGTTGATGTGATGTTTTGAATGTAAAATTTATTTTTAGTATAATATAAAAATAAAAAATAAGTGTTTGATTTGATGTTTTTTAAGGGGAAAAATAGAATGAATAGTGGAAATTTAATCCAATAATCGATTCATTTCTTTATGAAACTTGCAATTGATTGCACTTTATTCCATCCATTAATTTTCAAATATTATGTAACAATCGCTATTTAGTCAACCATTTTATATTTCTTATTTTTTATAAGGTTAAAAAATTGTGTGTTTCTTTTTTATCTT